GAATGGGGTAGAATGCATTGTGATATAAATATGGCGAGTCAGAGCTGGAAGAACTGGTGCTGAACGAGGTCTTTAATTTTAGTCCTGGTTTGATTTGGTTTATAATGGATTGATTCATATTTTGATATGAAAATAATGAGCTCAGAAGTCGCAAGAACAGATGCCTAACCAGAAGATGCGGAATGAGAGATATTTTGTTTTAAGAGACGAAGAGGTTTGGAAAGTAGCCATTGCCTGAATATATTTAAGACCTTCATTTGGAGCAGCAACCGAAAAAAAGATAAAAAAACAAACTCGCCTTTACTCTGCGCGAAAAAATTGCTCGTATATTTGTTCTTCGACATTATCTGTTCCTCGAAGCTCACAGAAAAATTGTTTGCATCTTCAAACAAGTAATGTCTGCGGGAAAACAACAGTGCATATTTTCGCGCCAAATAGAGGTTATTGTTTATTTAGCCTCTCATAGGGAGTTAAGGTCACCTGTGATGTGGTTTACAGCCTACGGCATGTACTAAAATTAAGAATACTGGGACACAGTAAGAGAGGAACGCTGGAATAACGGAACATCAGAACACACCGGAACACGCCAGAACATCGGAACACACCCTAACACGCCAGAACATCGGAACACGCCGGAACACACCAAATGATACCTATTTGTAGCACAAAAAACAGAAACACAACCAGGGATCAAGTAATTGCAGTAGATCACAATTGCAAACGACATAGTTGTGTCTGTGACCTTTGAGACAGCAACAGAACAGTGGAGATCGGTTTGTTCAAATCTCTGTTTGCCCGCGGGAAAGCAAATTGTCCGTTCGTATGACATCATCAAGAGTCCGACATAACACTCTTTCTTTAGCGTCTGCTTACAGGAATAATTTCCACAAGCAGATGGTTCAACTAACAAGAGTGTCCAAGAGAGAGAGTTGACTGTATTTTAATGTTGGGAGCTTTAACGCACCCCCTCAGTCCAGCCCCTTATTTCCTCCAAAGCAGGGGTAAAAGTCGTCTTTTCGTCGAAGCCTTCGAAAAAGAGAATTAATCAAACTTCGTCTTATAGATTGATTCTTGATATTTTGTTCGAGATCAGGTTTATTACTGCCAAATTTACATTGAGCCAGGTAATTAATATGAATAAACCTGCTTTTATTTCCAGAAACGCTCAAGCATACAGACTCACACACCGTTCGCGGTAGACCCACTCCAAAAGATGGCTTGTGTAATGAGCGTATATTTCGAAACGGGTTGTTCCGCGAACTCAAAATAGCAAAAGAATCAAATGATTTAGCGAAGGTCTCACTAGAATCTATAAAAGCGGGAATCTTTAAAACGGGGAATCTTTAAAAGCGGGGAATCTTTAAAAGCGGGAATCTTTAAAACGGAAAATCTTTAAAAGCGGGAATCTTTAAAACGGAAAATCTTTAAAAGCGGGAATCTTTAAAACGGGGAATCTCTAAAAGCGGGAATCTTCAAAATGGGGAATATTTGAAAGCGGGAATCTTTAAAAACGTAATCATTTTTTCGGCAGATGGCAGTGTCACTCGATTATCATTTCTTTTATCAGTCTGAGAGATAAGTCAGTTATCAGCCCTGTAAGCAATCATGACTGAATACTCTGATCTACATCGTTTTCCGGTATTATCTTCAGGATTCAAAATAACAGCCGGCTGCCGTTTTAAAAGCTTTCTGGAAACGTAAACAAGTAAAAAGTTTCGAAATTTCAAACATGCTACAGGGAGTATTTTTGTTTACAGTATTCAGCTTTTACGTATTTGTTCAAGCATGAAACATGCAAGTTTGTGTCCATACCGTCAATTTACCGTGTTCATGTTTCTGCACGTACATACTACTTTTAATCAATATTTATTTTCCACCAAATCCTGTCTAATGTCGTTTGTATAGCCTTCTCACGCGTTCAAATTAAAGTCGGTGCTTGAAAGAACGGATTTTCCATAACTGTAAATGATGAAGCGCGACAGTTTGTCTAGACAAAGTTGAATATTTCACGCTTGAACAAACACCGAAAAATTGACCCGTTTTGACTACACTTTGTTGGAGAGGGACTGAGGTGCTCATCAAAGCTTTTAGAGGTTAAAAAGGGCGGGTTTAGTACCTCTTGGGCTGTTCAGCCTCAAAAGGTCCACAGCAGCAGAAGCCTCTGGGACACCTGTCAGGGTATTGCACCAAAAATATGTGACAGTGTGTTGTTGTAGAATTGGTGCCTCTCAGGGGTGAAAAAATTTTACACCACGCCCATAAACTAGGACCATGGTACCTCTGTATTTCTTTTAGAACCACTGCGCACCGTGAGTGGTCAACACTTGTAACAGCGCGTCTACCTGTAGCCCGACTTACGATCTTAGATCGTCTTGTCTTCTATACAACTGGGCCATGATTGGAAGGAAGGAAAGAAGGAAATCTTGGTTGAAATTGAAGAGATCTAGCTCGCCTAGAACTTACTGATTTTTTTTATAGTTTTCGGAGAAAAGAGTGAATGAGGCGAGATCACATTAAAAGGGTTCCTCCCTATACGACAGAAGAAAATATACGCCGACGAAAATCGAACGCTGCCAGCAGAGGTTGACTTTGTTTAATTTAAAACCAGTACAGTTTAATCACCAGTTTCTGTACTTACCTGCATTCTACGCTAAAACTTTAGCGATCCTGTCAGTGATCCTTTAGGCTTTAGTAGGAAATAATAAAATTTAGCCGCGACGTGCAGATGCGGCTTAGCTCGCGCTAACGAAGTCTAAACAGAGCGAGTGGCAAAAGCAGAATATTTCACACCGGTAATTGATGTAGCAACAAAACACGGAAAACCATTGACAGCTGACACAAAAAATAATTTCCATGTCGTGAAACTTAATTGTCAATCAAAGGCAAAGGCGTCAGTCAGAGCATGGACCCGGCTTTGCTCAGTCTCTGTTAAAAGACTTTCACATGTTTACTATATAAGCGCGATTAGTGAGCCAAACTTATGGAAAATTTGAACGGTTTTAATATATTCTTAAAAATTAGCCTCTAATCTCTTCTTGTTGTCCCTCTTGCAAAAAAAATCTCATTTAAGTTTTTCCGTATGTGATATTTCACGTGGAAAATAAAAGAAGAGGAAGAAGTTAAAAAAAACGAACAAACAAAAAATAATTATTAAGGTCCCTTTTTGAGGGACAGCGGGTGGGAGAAGGGTAGATTCGCCGGCTAGATCTCAGGTCCTAAATGAATACAAAAAACCGCGTAAGGAGTCCCTTTCTCGAAAACACGATGACTTTCCGGGTCCGAAGCTATATCTTAATACCCATTTCCACTCATCGATTAGGTTACGGTGCGTTTTTCAGTAGTAGATCACAAATGACGTCAAAACGGGGGGGGGGGGGGCGTAGGGGGAGTGCGTTGCGTGACATCCTTATGAACGGCCACGAAGACCTTTCGTCCCATGTAAGGTAATCCAGGACAATATTAGATTCTGGATTCTACGCCGTGGATTCCGGATTCCAGGTGCTGGATTCCGGATTCTACCCCAGCAGATTCCGGATTCCAAAACGCAAAAGATTCCAGATTTTAGTTTCTGGTTTGCTCCTAATTTTCGCATTTCGTTTTCTAAGAATGGCTTCAATGACGGATTTAGTTATTGAAGGACATGTTTGTGAATGCATGTTTGTCTATTCATATTTCCATAACAACATTTGATAATTACAAGAAATGTATTACAGCAAATTAAGGGATAAATTTTTCTTCTAGGAATACCTGTTGAGACTGTCCGTCTCTTAAGTCCAATGTCCATTCATTCCTCATCTTTTAAGCAAATCTGAAGAGGCGAAGCCATATTCTTTCATTCAGGTTCCTCGAGGTTCTTCAAGTGATTTAACGGTATCAAAAGAACTAATAGTTCAAATTATTGCCTATCATTTCTAATTTGTAAATAACTGTTGGACTAAAAAGTTGTTTTAGCACAGCATAACATTGTTCCGACTGGGAAAAGGTGGCCAATTTTTGTTATCCAAAATTGACTTATGGAGAATTGTCAACAAAACAGCTCGAAAATATTTCCCTATCATCTCAAATTACTTTTTTAACTTTCCTTTCAAACAAAAACCATAGTATTGACGAAAAATTGAAATTGAAATATAATTTTAATAACACCCCGTGTATTTCGCAACTAAATCGCAGACTATGACTAAGAAAGGCTTGTTTTCCTATATGTAATTGGCGATGATGTTCGACGTTATGAGATTGCGCACAAAACGGTGTTCAACCCACTCAAGTATACTTAAACCTTTGCAAAATCTCAAAAGATCTGCATTTACACGGTAATTTCCATGAATAAGAGATTCTCTTTTCTTTACTTCTTTGTTCTTGATAAGGTTAGCCAAGTCAAGTCACATTACTTCGGCTATGAATTCTCCAGAGCAATGATTCTAAAGGTTTAAGGTGGCCCGCCGATATTTTCCTGTTTTACCCTAAAATCTGGTTATATCGTATTTTATTTGCACTGAGATATGATGCCTTATGAAATCTTAACTTTTGTCACTCCTAATGCCAAATATCAAAGAGAGCGGTTTACGTTTAAATGCCGAAATTTTGACTTAGAAATAGACCTCTCCGCCTTCATTAATATTCATATATATATTAATTCAAAGTTTATCGTACTTGGAAACGTTTGGTACGTCGCCATGTTGGAATCCAAGCAAATCCGGTGGGATTTGAATGCTGTTGTTATGTAAACAATCTACTTAGTCCTTCTAAATTTACACACCCATCGACCACGTGAGTGGCCTGCACTCTACAGTGGTTGCATCGGTCATGATAAAACGCAGACTGTAGACCATGCGGACTGTGCAGACCGTGCGGACCGTGCACACCGTGCAGACCGTGCAACTTTTTCGTTTGCTTTTCTTAAAACTGTGATTTACATATAACTAAAGTGTGTACACCGTTTTCTTACTCTTTTGGTAGCATTGGAACTGTTTCCAATTTTTGGACACCACATGAGGAAATTTTACTCTCTCGCGTTGGTAAGACAAAATCGCGGGGTCAAGTTTCTCGAGCTCATGCAGATTAGCCCCACGCGGCAAGATGTGATTTGTGTGGACCGTGACGCTGACTTAAAGGTAAGAAATGTGTTGTGTGAACGATGCAAATGATTACCTGGATTTTCACAAGACAGCCCAAAGAAATTTACAGTAAAGAAAGTGCTGCAAGCTAAAATCGAACTTTAGTAGGAAGGGTTTTGAATCGGAGTGGAAGACTGATCGATAGTTACTGAGTAAGGAACTTTGGCCATGTCAGTATTGAAGTCGATTGAGTGATAGGTCATTAATGAATTTGTCTGGCTGTAACAGTCGAAATTCTCCAGCGAACAAAGCGCGCTCTTCACGGTCTGCAGTCTGCATCTTAGCATGACTGTGCATACATGGATGCGCTTGAAAGCTGTTTATACGATTTTAAATGGATTCTGAATTCATTCTTTAGCGGGATTCTGGATTCCAATGCCCAATATTCCGGATTCCACGAGCAAAAATATCCTGGATTCTGGAATCCGGATTAACTTACATGGGGCGAGACCTTGATAGTAACCGCAAGGTATTCTGGTTAGTATAGATGTGCAAGGATGCAAGAAACCTAAAAAAACATGTCTTCTTTGGTTAGGCAACTTTTTAGGGCACCCCTCATCATACGATGTGGACTATTAAGCCCGATGTCGACGTCAGTCGAAGCTGCAAATACCTCAGCTTCCGGATTTCTTGTCCAGAAACTCGAGAAGAAAGCAGAAGGTGGTATGCTACATGTAACGTGGAATAACAACTCTATGAATCGCTATCCTTTTGCGTACCTCCGCGATAACTGCCAATGCTCGGAGTGCTTCCACGAATCAGCCTACCAGCGATCATTTGACACTGTGGGCAAGTTAGATCTAAAAATTTTACCAGAGAACTACGACGTGAGGTTAGATGGGAAGGAGATAGTCATTGCGTGGCCCGACGGACACGTTAGTGTGTTTGACTCAGACTGGCTGCACTCTCGTCGACTGGTCGACGCGAAGGATGATCCAAGCAGCGTAATGCTCCCTTATCTTAATAAGGAGGGGGTAGAGTTTTGGAATGCTGAAACACTGCAGGGAAAAGTTCCTAAGCTTGATTTTAAGGATCTCATGGAGGATGATGGCGCACTTTTTGATTGGCTCAAAATCTTACACAGTGTAGGAATTGCTTTGGTGGTTAACACCCCTCTGGAGGTGGAACAAGCAGAAAAACTCCGTGATAGGGTTGGATATTTTAAGACAACTCACTATGGGTATGTAAATATTATTATATTTCATTCTTTTCCTGCAGTAGGTTACATGTAACTATGCTGCAATAGGTCTCTAACTAGTTACGTGGCTTCCTTAACCCAAGCAAGAGAAGGCTCTTTCTATCCTGTTTTGGAGGTAGTATGGTGTAACATTTAGCGTCTTGGACTCATTAAAGCAACCTTTGGGGGAGGAGGGGGGTTCTGGGGATGAGCGGATAACCTGCAATGATCCAGTATCCCATACACTGGGAGTAGCAGAGTCTCAATGTTTCTTGAGATGAATTTGAGAGAAATGTAGAGGTTTGATGAAATGCTGTGTTACTTGAGGATAATATTTCAGTTGATAGTGGTTTGATTGATCCTGCACTGTATGATTTTCATTGTATCACTAGTGGTTCTATTTTTTCCACTAAACTATGTAATTGAGGTTTTAAGTGCTTCTATTAAGTAATAAGTCCTTGTCCTTGGTTTAGGAAGAGAAAATTTTTGTGTTATTCTTGTAGGAATGGATAAATGAGACAGCAGAATCCTTTCATTCATTATGTGCACCACATCTCATGGAAATTTATTTTCAGAGCATAGACCCTTTTGCCTAGTTGTGTGTGATATGCATATGATTGAAAAAAGATAGCCCTCTAACTTTTTTGATTCATTTACTGTGACCAATCCTGTTTAGATCACTTGTTTTTGTTGTTAAAAAAATTCATAACTCTTGTTAGCTGTTGAGGAGGGTTAATTCTGTAGAAATCAAGAACCTTTTTCCTTTTTGACTTGCAGGCATTATTTTGATGTGAAAGCAAAATATGAAGCAAATAACTTGGCATATACTTCAAACTTTTTGCCACTGCATACTGACCTGCCTTACTATGACTATATACCAGGGGTAAGTGTACTCAGTTTCTTCAGGAAGGTCTGGAGCCTCGGGAACCCTTAGATTATATCTGTTTTAACTACTGGTACATTAATTTTAGTCCAAATAGCAAGTTCCTTTATTAATGGAAAGAAATGTGATGTGGTTAGTTTGTGGGTTGTGGCAAGAATTGGCTGTGAGATAAGTTTGAGGATAGGGAAGTGCAGCCTGATCTGAAAGAGGGACTTTGGAGATGGGGCAAAGCTAATGATCATTTGTTACTCAATCCTCTTTGCTACTATTGACATGTTAGACTGCATTTAAGTCCTTTCATCCTGTTTAATGTTTTTCTGGCATTTGGCCTTGGCCCTACCATGTGGAGATCTATGGCCTCAGCTCTTTCTTGACAGCTTTCTGCCATGTTGTTTCTTTTCCCTGAGGGTGTTCATTAAATCTACCAGGATTTTTCCTTTCCTATTTTCCTTTCTTTTCTTTCTGCAACTGTTGGTTAGCTATAGTTAGTTTGCTCTGATCAAGTTTGCAGAAGTGGGAAGTGGGAGGGGAGGTTCTCCTATACATGGGTTGTGCTGAGATATCACTCAGACAAAAACTATGCAATGAAATTGTAAAATGATATTGTCTATGTGTCCCATGGGAAGTGACTTTGTTTTTGTCTTTTTGTTTATAATGTGTGGAAGAGGGTTCCCATTTTTGCTGGATTTGTCTGAAAGCTCCAGACCATTACTTTTTTTAGTAGGTCCTCTGGGAGGCACGGTGGCCTCATGGTTAGTGCGCTCGACTCCGGACTGGGTGGTCCGGGTTTGAGCCCTGGCCGGGGTCATTGTGTTGTGTTCTTAGGCAAGACACTTTACTCTCACAGTGCTTCTCTTCACCCAGGTGTACAAATGGGCACCAGCAAATGTGCTGGGGGTAACCCTGCAATGGACTAACATCCCATTCAGGGGGGAGTAGCAATACTCCTAGCTGCTTCATGCTAAGAAAACCGGAGTTAAGCACCGGCCCCATGGGCCACTTGGGCCCATATAAAGGCTTTACTTACTTTTACTTTTAGGGCCAAAGTGCTGGTTGCTGTTAGTGTCACATGTCCAAGTCATGTGACCTGACCTCCTCAGACCTTTTTCATCTGACACAGGTCTAAAATATCTAATTCAAGGCTATTACACCCCAGCTGTTGTAGATTTAAGAGCAAGAACCCCTCTATTCGAGTCCTAACAGACTCTGCTTTTTCTTTTTTAGCACCTCTGACAGTAATCTTCTCTGTTTTAGGTTCAGATGTTGCACTGCATTGAACAAGCCACTGGTACAGGCGGAGCAAACCAGTTTGTGGATGGCTTCTTCGTTTCACAGGAGCTGCGAAATAAAGATCGCAAAAAGTTCGATATCCTGACAAAGACGCGAATCCAGTTTGTTGACATTGGAAAGGACATGTTTGGAGATTTTTACTACAAATTTGCTCGACACATGATTGAGTAAGTCAGTTATTACTCATGAACATTATTGTGGAGTTAAGTTCAATTGAATGTCCAAAGTAAATCCGGAAGCGTTTTTGATTTTCTCTTCTATTTTTTGTAATTGGTCTACGCAGTTAGAGCCACTTTCTCTCCCAGTCAGATGCAAAAGTGAAACAACTTGTGACTTGTTCCCTCGCGTTTGCTAACGCCTTTCTTATGATACAACCCGGCGGGATCTCAGTTGATTCAGCAAGGACATTTAAGTCGACTATGCAACGGTAGAGTTCATTGAGCGTTTTTCGAGTGAGTATCGCAAAACCAAACCCAAAATAAAACATCCATATTGCATAAAGAGCGGGAAAACGCGGACGACCAAGACGTGATTGGTGTTAGTTTTGCTTCTGTCTGGTTGGGAAAGTGGAGCGAATTTTCTGGACCAATCACAGAGCGAAGTAAAGCATAACTAAAAACAATCCCAGATTACTTTCAACACTCAAATGAAAATTGCCCTATGGCCAAGCGCTTTACCCGACAACATACAAGAACTGATTTTTCTTTCATGTCACCTTTTTGTCTCAGGTTGGATAAGAACGGCCAAATTGTGCGTTTTGCCTTCAGCAACCATGCGCGAGACTCTGTCGTGCTCAACTCCACCCCTGAGGAGACTGTTCAACTTTACGAAGCTTATCTTACTCTGGGCAAGATGTTAAGAGAACCGGCCAATCAAATAGAGCACAAAATGGTTCCCGGGGATATGATCACCTTCAACAACAGTCGCGTGTTGCATGGGAGATCGGCGTTTACTGTCCAAGGGGGACAAAGTCGGTTCCTTCGCGGCATCTACTTGGATTGGGATATTATGTATTCTCTCATGAGAGTGCTGGCGAAAAAGCTGAACATTCCGCTATCGTACTAAAGCATACTACATCTTCTTGGAGGTAAAACACACATGAATGGCCCTTGAAACATGATCGAGGTGAACAGAAAAAGGAAATAAACTCGTTTCGATTATTTACGGGATTTTTAGGTAATAACTCATGTTTCGATATGAAATATTATTAGGAAATATTTCAACATACTTCGCTGAAGTCGACACACTGAATGCATGTGGCTTTTCGTGAATTTCGTACAAGAAATGTTAGTCGGACCGGAAGCTGTTTTTCCGTGTAGAGATGTAAAATTATATTTAGTCCTGGTTTGGTTTGTAATGGGGGTAGAATGCATCGTGTCATATATAGCGGGATTAGAGGTTGTAAGAACTTATGCTTAGCCAGAACGTATCCGGTTTGATTGGCTTTAGAATGGGGTAGAATGCATTTTGATATAAATATGGCGAGTCAGAGCTGGAAGAAATGGTGCTGAACGAGGAATTTAAGTTTAGTCCTGGTTTGATTTGGTTTATAATGGATTGAAGGCACCTGTGATGTGGTTTACAGCCTTCGGCATGTACTAAAATTAAGAATACTGGGACACAGTAAGAGAGGAATACTGGAATACCGGAACATCAGAACACACCGGAACACGCCAGAACATCGGAACACACCCGAACACGCCAGAACACACCAAATGATAGACAAGATCAAGTAATTGCCGTAGATCACAATTGCAAACGACATAGTTATACAGTCATTTCTTCACTAACAGATACCCTCGTAATCGGGTAGTTTTTTCCATTCCCATTTTTAAATCCGATTTATATATACTCAGTATTTATTTATTCCCGTAAGTGGACGGTAACTCGCAAGCGGATGCGGACACTTAAAGTGAAAATTGGATTTTTCTTTGTTTACGCTCTCTCGTTAGCGGACACCCATGATAATTGATTCTTGGAAATAAAATTTGTCTTGAATTTGAAAATCAAAAGTCCTTTTCTCTGCTATTTAAACGAATTACTCGCTTAGCTTACGGTCTCTACCTTCCCTGCATACTATACATGAAGTAAAACTGATGGATTTTACATCCTTTCCGCTCTGAGACAGACCTTCAAGCGCGTTCGCGTACTTATTTCGAGCCTGCGTTCACAGACTACCAGTGGTCACCCTATAACCGTAAGTACGTCATATACGGCGATCTGCAGCGGGTAACCATCGCTCTTGACTCTCGAAGCCATGAGGCAAAGTTTGGAAACTGGCGGTTCTTGGATCCCTCTCTTTATTCCTTTGTTAGGAATTTTTTCGATTTCTAGTGCACAAAATCATGTCGGTGAAGATTTAGACGCGAAAATCGCTTTTGATTTACCGGGACAACAGCCACCAATCTCGTTTGCGCAATCTACAACAGATCACCCAAGCACGGGATATATTGTCTATTGTCCTTGTATGGGTAAGTTTCCACTATCTTTTGTTTTGTCTTTCACATGAAACGTCTAGATTTAGGTGACATGGCTTTATGTTTTATAAAGCTCCCGTTTATTTTCCCGGATTATAACAATCATTTAACGTTGTTGTATTTTTCTTTGTACGACTTGTGATGAGATAAATGTATACAAAGGGGGTAAGTTTCTATTGAAACTGTGGTGCTGCGTTCGTGGGAGAGTGATAAAAAGGAAGTTTGGTATTATTAAATGAGTTGATAACGTAAATTGGCCACCGTAAAGAGTTCGCTTGAAACGTCAGCTTTGAAACTCTTAACGGTGGTTAATTTACGTTAACAACTCAGTTGATAATACTCAATTACCTTGGTAATGAGACAAGCTAAGCAGAGTGAAGGAAAGTGTAGATAACGCGGTATCTTCGTCTCGTTTAGACACAGGGAAAGGTAAATAGGTGTTTGGCTGTGGACTTCTGAGGTCAGATTAGATTTTCTCCTTCTTTGGAAATATGATGCTAATATCTGTACAGCTCTAAAGGTTTAAACCTGGAGTTAAGATAATTATCAGACAGCATAGTGTAAGAAAATGTGGGTCATGAATAACAGATTTGTTTGCAACACTAGCACTTTCACATAGAAAGTTTTGGTCAAAGACCCATTCTTTACTATCTTAAATACTCTTTGATTTAGCCTCTACCAAAGCACTCTCTGAAAGACCAAAGCTTTTTACATATCTGAAGAGCTTGTTACTCAGAGTCTGTAGTTCTTTTTTCATTTGTTTTGTGAATCACCTAAAGCCTTACATTAACCCTTTGACCCATAAGATTAAACAGCATCTAATTTAATAATAATAATAATTTACCAATTTATATAGCATGTATTTACATGTGCTGATCAATAGTGCTTTACAATCATATGTTTAAAAGAAAACGAAAATACATTACCGTGAGAATAAAATAAACTAAGTTACAAACTATAAAAAATACTTCTTAAAAAGATAGGTTTTAAGTCGAGATTTAAAACTGTTAAGTGATGTTGCTTGACGAAGCTCCACAGGTAGCTCATTCCAGAGTTTCGGAGCTGCTGCTGAGAATGATCTTGCTCCCAATGTTGTAAGCATCTTTCCCTTGGGATGGTCCAATAAGAGCTTACCAGTAGACCTAAGATTATATAATGAATTTGATTTTATACTAATAAGATCGCTAAGATAAGTTGGCGCTAGGCCATAAATACATTTGAAAGTCAAAAGTAAAAAATCTTATAGTCAATACGCAAAGAAACTGGCAGCCAGTGCAGCTCATAAAGCGCCGGTGTAATGTGAGAAAACTTTCCAAAGCCAAGAATAAGTCTTGCTGCTGCATTTTGTACACGCTGTAATTTAGCGATCTGCACATTTGGTAAGCCAAACAATAAACCATTACAATAGTCAAGACGGCTGGTTATAAAAGCATGAGCCAAAGTAATTAAAGAATCTCTCGACAGGTATTTCTTAATACGTCTCAAGTTATGTAAATGATAAAATGCCACATTACAAGCCTTGCTTATATGATCAGTCATGCTTAAGTTGCTGTGAAACCAGGATCCAAGATTTCTAACACATGGGCTTGGACTGATACGATTATTGCCCGCAGTTATGGAACACGAATCTAATTTATCAAGCTGTTGTCGTGTGCCGACCACCAAAAACTCCGTTTTATCATCATTGATCATCAACCGATCTTGAATCATCCATTTCCTCACTGTGTCAATGCACTTTTCCATAGCTTGTATAGCATCAGCTTGAGCAGTTAATTTCTCCTTACAATATCTCCTCTGAATCACACATTAAGGTCATGAGAATACAAGAAATGAACACCAACTATACAAGCTCTTGATTGTTAAACAAGTTCTTCTTCTCAGCATCTCAGGAAATGTTTAGAGAACAGTATGGAGAATATGTATACTGATGTTAGGGTGTTAAGGAAGAAGGTCTTGATTGTTACAGAAATTCTCCTTGTCAGCACCTTAGGAAATGCATAGAGAACAGTATGGAGAATATGCATACTGATATTAGAATGTAAAGGGTTAAGCTTTTAGGAAAGAAACTGGGATAAAAATATAATTATGAAGATTCTCTGAAAAGCTGAGTACCCTCTGTTGGGCGTGAATGTAAACTGTAAGGTTGAGAAAATAAAGTTTGTTACATTGCTGTTTCTACTGAAGTGTAGCTTATTCTAAATTTATTGTGATGTTTCTCTATTTTTTCTTCTTTTCAGGCCGGTTTGGAAATCAAGCTGACCAGTTTTTAGGATCATTAGCATTTGCAAAAGGATTAAATCGCACCCTTGTGTTACCTCCATGGATAGTTTATCCAAGTTATAAAAGAGGTGACTCTGTGAGTTTAATTCTTTATTTACTTGGCTAGTTAAATTACAAGTATTCAATCTCCTAACTCCTTGTAAAATGAAAAATTTATGAATTTCTCTCTCTTGTCAATTCCATTAAGAACCCCTGACAACTGAGTAATCTTAAGGGCAAGTGAAAAGCAATGAGTGAAGATAATTTTTTCAAAGTTTTGGGAAGAAAATGTGGAGTGCTGGTTCTTGAAAAATCACAATAACATTGTTGAGTGCTTGAGATTTTCTTGATGTGTGGGCAACCTCCAAAAATTTACCAAAGCAAAAAAAAATTGAACTGTCAAATGAGTTATGAGGGGTTTCTTGAAGATGAATGATGTGTTTTGCAGATACATTTAAAGTAACATATCTTTGATCCTTTTCTTCAAAATGAATTAAGGATTGAATCAATAAAGCACAAGAAATAGTTCTCCTGTTTACCCTTTACATCACTTTATTCAAATAGTACTCCCTGCCCCTTTCCCCACAGGATCGAGTACCATTTGATGACTGGTTTCTTGTTAAGCCACTTGAAGCATACCACAGTGTTATAACAATGGAAAAATTCATGAAAGACATTGCTCCAACAATTTGGCCACCTGGAAAAAGAATAGGTTGGTATTTGATTATAGATGAGTTTTTTTTTTTAACATTTATTGCAAATCGCGAGGAATATATATTTACAGGGTTCTAAGCTCCAAATTTTTCAAAGGTCAACTATTAACCCTTAACTCCAAATCTCTGGGTTTTTAACTCTCCCTTCTAGCTGTAACACATAAAATTTCCTTTTAGATTAGTTAGGTGAACTTGGTGTTAGATCAAGGTAGCAACTTCTACCTGATAAATTCAAGTACTTGCTGGATAATATATGGATATCTTAGGGAGAAGTAAGATGTTAATCACCTCTTGGAGTTGGAGGGTTTCAGAGGGTTAAGTGCCCCATAAAGACATTTTATGTAGCAGCACTTGTTTTGTGCTATGTAAAAAGCAAACAGTGTTTTTGTAATGAGAAAATTGATGGTGATGATTCTGTCTCAGGCTTCTGCTACTCATTCCGAGATGGTCAGAAGTGTGACATGAAGCAGGGAAATCCCTTTGGACCTTTCTGGAATCACTTTCATATTGACTTTGATGATTATCAGGAACATTCTGGCTTGTTGTGGGACACAGAACAAGAATGGGCTAGAGTTGGATGGAACACAAGGTACATGTATCTCACCAAAATGTGTCATTGTACTTTGAAACTTAGTTCATTTCCTTTCCTTTTTTTTTCTGTTTTTAGCAAATACCACTATGATAATTATTAAGCTACATTTTGGAAAATTTCCAAACAATTGCCAAAAAAATAGGACAAAATATATTGCAAAAACTTTTTTTACTAATTGTAACCTGGCAAAGGATACAGTTTAAATCAATACAAATATTTATCCAATATCTTTCACAGTCAGGTGCATAAGAAAGTCAAATGGTTTTAACTACTTTAAGGGCTTAAATTTAATTTCATGGAGTGGTCTTGTTGACAAGAAAATATGCAAGCTATGAGAAATTGAAGTAAAAACAGGCAAACTACCAAAAATGTGGGAAAATGCTGGTGACTGAGTCATGATTCCTCTTAGTGTTGAGTCTGATTGGTTGAGAGGATGGTGAAAGTTTTCTAGACAATGGTAGAACATGGTAAAGCAGACTGATTCTGGAACACTTTCTATACTTAATTAAAAATTGCTTCTTGAGTCATGAAAGGGTCATGATCGTTATTTGGGGGAAGTGTGAAGCAGGGTGTGCCCATTACTCTCCTTTCCAACTGTCCTGTCCAATTAGAAATTCTCCTTTCTACCTGTTAATTTATTTTTGATTCATTTTTCTATCGTTTTTCAGATTTCCAGAGTCAGAGTTTCCAGTGCTAGCTCTGATGGGAGCACCAGGAGCTTTCCCTGTACATTCACAAAACAGATGGTTACAAAAGTTTGTCCAGTGGTCGACTAAAGTTGAAAATACAGCCAAGGAGTTTATTTCTACTGTACTGAATAATGAACCTTTTGTTGGTATTCATTTACGAAATGGAATTGACTTTGTGAGTGAGACCAGACAGTAACGGTCCAGTTTAAAAATAAGACTACTTTATGCTATTTACAGGCCTTTTAGAGGAATTTTGTCAGTGTTCTATTGCATCAACGTTATTATCTGAGAAGCTACGCACCAACCCTTCCTCTAACAAAACAACAGTCAACTGATAACGAGTTAGGGTTATTGTTAAGTTAGGGGAGGGTAAGTGCACAGTTTCCCAGATAATGACATTAATCCACACTATTTGTAGGCAGTCAAAGGAATTGTACGAGCCTGCAGAGCAAGTAAAATGTCAATTCCGATATCTTTCCATTTATATTATTTATGGAATAGGAATTAATTAACTATCTAGGTCTGGGCTCATCTTTCAAACTGAAGCGCTAAAAAGATTATTTCGTACACTGTCATCATTTCCCGTATTACTTCTCTACAATGTACCACAATGTACGAACCCAATGAAGCTTTGAAACATTTTACACTTATGATCGTGGACCGTTACCAAAACTTTATCGTGCGAATCTTCTCTTTACTCAATGGAACTCGTTCCTTGTTAGATTATAGTAACCCATTCAGTTATACTCTGTTAGTGACGACTGATCCCACTTCCGTCCCCCCCTGGAAATCATGTAACCCTTCTCAAAATCCTCCGCCCCCTTTCCCCCCCCCCCTTCCCAACCCCACCCTGGCTATAAGTAATGAATGATCCCCTAGTTTCCGTTTTCTACCTTAGTAACCACCATTATATTTTTGGTTCGTCTAAAATAGTTCTTAAATGTAATAAAATCATCTTTATGTTCAGGAAAGAGCTTGCGAACATGTTAAGGATGGAAGTACCTCCTCCTTCTTTGCCTCGCCTCAGTGTGTTCAACCTGGCTCCAAAGACAAGCTCACGCATCAAATGTGCCTACCACTGAAGAGTGAAATCCTCAAAAAGACCAAAAAGGTGGTGAAGAAAGCTAAGGCAACAAGAGTGTTTGTGGCAACGGATAATGATCCAATGATTAGAGAGCTCACAGAAGCATTGAAGTCTTTAAAGGTAACAACTTGAACATTCTCGACAAAGTCGGGACGAAATATATTGAATCAATGACAGATGAAGTGGCTTAGCAGAGAAGAAGGCTTCCTTTTTAGTTTGCAATGAGTTTTTGTTCATGGCTCTTTTTGATCGGCCTTCTAAAGTCAAGCTATCCTCTAAACCAATCAGATGCAAAGCTAACATCAACAACGGCTCGTTAGTTTCCTACGAATTCCTGTCGTAGTAAGGGGGGGGGGCGGGGGGTGGGCTCACATCATGGCTATGAATCAAGTGAAAGGGAAAGGAATAGAAATAAGCATTGGAAGAATCTTACTATAGGTTATACATTGTCCTTTTACGAGCACGCCTCATTTATTATCATCCCTTCAAGATACCCGCTCCCTTTTGACCTTATGAAGGGAGCGGGAGAGCTCTAAAGATTTTTCGTTTTTGTCTGTGGTAGCCGTTACCAGTAATCAAACTCCTGAACCTGGCTGTTCATCCCAGCTGCTTTTATGTTAAAGTGTTTATCTCTGGGTTCTTCCAGGTTCTTTGCTCTTTAAAACCTGGGTCCATTCGAAATGTCAGCTGTAAACAGAGCTTTTCTTGATAATAATCTTCGAATGTGTTGTTGTGTTTGTCTTTTCAGGTGTCTGTACACAGAAGGGAACCTTCAGATGAAGTTAATGATCCGATACTGGACTTGGCAATCCTTACCATGTCGAATCACTTTATAGGCAATTGTGTGTCAAGCTTCACTTCGTTTGTGACTCGCTATCGTGAAGTCAATAATAAACCAACCTCATTTTGGGCTTTTAAAGATAAATAGCAAAACTAAGAAAAATCGCTTTTTTTTTTCGTTTCTGTATGAGGTTGATTTTGAGATCAAAGAATTTTTACATCTTGACAGTGTTAAAATTACTGCTGCTGCCAGAGTCCTTCTTTTATTAGATTTCTCGATTGTCTATGAATTAACTGCAAATGGTGTTGTAAACTAATCTCGATATGCACAGCCTCTCAGTTTTTCGTGGCACATTGTAGTTTCAATTGTAACTTAGTATAGGATATTTATAGATAGGGAATATTACAGAAACAAATTTCATTTGAATAAAATTTCCTTTCCAGAAATCGTTTTTTTTTTCCCACGTTATCAGCCATACTCGAATTTGAATTTGCGCCCGTTTTCGTTCAGTTCCGTCTTACCTCGGACACTTTAAGGACTGTTCATACTTATTACGACATAATGACTCCAATCGCTCTGTCGAGGGGTTAACGATCGAAACGTTGGCTTTAGAATCTCTAAACGGGGGAAAGGGTAAAAAACAGGGAAACCGGAAACTCATTTAGAAACTGCTGAAAAAAAAAAAAAAGAAAAGAAAAAGAAAAAGAAAAGAAAAATCTAACCAACATTGCCTCCACTGCCTGGGGGAAAGGAAAGAGGAGACTCCAAGGAGAAATCCCTGAAATAATTTCTATCCATCACACCCATAATCAATTTAAAATGACACTAACTGATTCACGTGGAACCGAACACGGCAGGCTGAAGTATAATAGAATCGAATTATACAGAATTACCTACTCTCTTGCACTAGAAACCCGTCAGTCACGCAAAGGAGGTCACGTAAGACTTCCGCAAATAAATGATACAAACCACAACGCTTCAAAATAAAACAAACAAGCGAACAAAAGCACACAATATTTTTCAAAGGCAAGTATAATCGCGAATAGCATCATTAAATATGATGGCCATGACCTGCCTGGACCAGAAACGCAGAACGCCACGCAATCAAGTGTGACATCATGAATTTTATACATTTAATACATTACTCTACCCTCCCCCACCCCCAAATTACCGTTATTCCATGTGTCTCGTACCCAGATCGTAATTAATTGTTAGCATGTTATCTCTCCTTCGAAAGCGGTCGGGTCTAGAGTAAGCTGAAGTTTTACTTTATGATTTTTTACACAGTTTTACGTCATACAAATATTGCTTTGTACTTTATAGCGATCGAATATGGATCCAATCACACTCACAAATGTGTAGTTGACGTTTCTCCTTACATACCCACCTATCCCTCTATGTTTTTCGTTTTTTTTATTGTTTTGTTTTGAATTTTTTTTTCAGACTTTGTTTTGATTTGTTTTGGTTTAACATTCATTTCTTCCGTCCTAGTTTTCGCCGTATTAGAAACTCGCCGCCAAATCCCTTATTCAAGTACGCTGCTTTAATAGCTTTAAATTCATCTTCTCGTGATGTGGTATATGGCCGGCCGATGGTGACCTCATCGTTGCGGGAAAAATAATTCGGTTGATTAATGCTGATTAGCACCTGGTTCAAATTGTCGTGTGGTAAAACACGTACGGCTGACACGAAGAGCACGAAAGGATCTAACGTCACCTCCTTAATTATTCATAAGTTTTATACAATAGACTGTTTTTGATCGGAGAGTCGCTTCTAAATATTGATTACCATTTATTTTCCAATAAAATACGTTAGACTGAGCTGAGTCTAAGAAAGGTTAAGTTTGAGTCACTTATCTCTGGCAAACGTTAAATTCTGCTGACGTCTTTCGTTTCACGTATTCCGTTTTCTAGCAATTTCCGGTCGAATACATCAATATTCATCGAATACCATCTCCCGCCAAAAGGTGCCTCACCCTTAGCAACAGAACAAAACATCACTAAATATAGCATCGATGAACGTCAGGCTTCTGTTTGACGCGTTCTGATTGGTTGCTACTTTACGACACGTTTATTCTAATACATAACCACCCCTGACGTAATGAACGCTGATTGGCCGACTGCATCCGAACGATCTCGATTTCACAATCGTGACGCTCTTCAACGTCTATTCATTCACGAAACTTCAATCGACTATATCGTGTCGAAGTTTCGTCGTTGAAAAATTTAAATTTAACCGGCAAGGTTACTCATCTATTCGATTCATAACAAACTTGTCGAGTGTATCATACTGTTGAGCACTTCTCTACGAACATGGATTGCGAAGCAACAAGAATTCTTCAAGTATCTCTGTCGAAAATAACGGACTCTCGCCGTCGGCGTGGCGGTCCTGTACTACGACGTAATTTATTAGTTTCCCACGTCTTAAACAACGTGTTAACCTCGACAGACTCAGCTTATTGTACGTACAGATCGAAAGTGGAGATAGATATGGACATAGATGCTGTTGAAAACGAGCTTGTGCCTTTTGATAAATCGAAAATGACGCCCAATAACCCAGCTGGACCTGACGCAGGAAATGCGAGACATACAGTGCGTTCCGCGGCAAAATCAAATGAAAAAGTCACGGAAATGGAACAAAGCGTGCCTAGCAAGGACAGGAAGGAAAGCGTAGAGCTTATGAACCTTGAGAAAGCCTTAATAGGCGATAAAGAATGTGAGAAAGTCAGGAAAACCGAACTTAAACGTGTCACTGGTTCGAAACGGCTGCGATCTTCAGCGTATGGTAATGAACCTTGTGACAGCCACGCGGTTGACAACAAACGTTTGAAAACTGAAAGAAATGAACTGCCAAAAACGGAACCGTCTCATCAAGAACCCATGGACATATCAGGACTTGTTAATGTGTTCAGTAGTAGTTTTTCTGGACTATCTAGTATTCCTAGAGCAACCCCTTCGCTCAAGTCAAGTTTGGACTCCTTTCAATATATTTCTCCCCCTGTTCAATCAGTTGGCGGTGTATTCGGCTGGTCGCAGACCATCGTTGAAGCCTTTTAGTTTAGTTTTCATTTCATATTTCCAAATTTTTCCTTGTTTCAACATATTTGCCTTTGTTTATTGCTGCCGTGCAACCACTGGCGACCGTTTGCAGCCATGCTCGCGCAAATGTTTTTGTTATGATGAAGCCAACTCATTTAAAACTTACGTAATAGCTTTTGCGATAACTATCTGTGGTTGACCTTTTCTACTTCATACTTAGTAAAAGCGATGGTAGGTTATATGATCTGATGCGTTATTTTTCAAGTATTTAGAGTTCATAGTCGCTAATTTGTATTCTGACCGTTTTGTAAGAGTTCAGTAAGTTTGCTTGCCTTTTCGCTGGCCCTTTGAAAAGTGTTTTCTAAAAGCTTTGAACATTTTTATAGCATGAACCTAGTTAAATTACTGTGCATCTGCTATATTTTTATTCATCTTTTGAGGGAGAAAATTATGAAATATTTGCTGAATGTGTATAAATTGGTGGAATATGTCTTGGCATGACACTGAGGTTTGATAACGACTGTGTAAATAACAGAGTTCTTTCTATGAAATTCATGTATACGAAAGAGAAATATTATATAAGAGAAATAAATATTTTGAAAGAATTATCTGTTACTGGTCGTTTGTACAAAGAAAGTAGCATTCAACCGTTGGGTACATGTACAGGATATTTGCATCATCATTGTGCTCGTGGGATCAAAGTAAGGATGCTAGATTCTAAAATTAACCCCTCGCTGCAGATCACATGCTTGGAAGGTCAAGTTCGGTATTGTTCAGTTTCTGTTTACATTACGTCATCGCCATATTCGTGACCTTCTACGGAAGTTATGCTAATTGTAAAATGCCGCGGACATTTGCCCTACTGAGTGAGACTAACAGGATTTATTTTAAATAATGATTTTTGGAATTTTTAGGATATTTTCCATTTTACAAACTAGTAGAGTTTTCAGAATATTTCTATATATTGTCCTCTGAAATATCAAGATAGATAGGTGATCATTTCAATCATGCAAACATATGTAACACTGGCTGAAACCAGGAGCCCATTATAAAGTAATGGGCTGCTGAAACCCAGTGTACTTCAATTTTCTTACTTCCCTTTTACGCTTTTTTTGGCACATGGAGCTCTGTGTATTGTTACTGGTATGCATATCTTTCCTTCCTCATCCTTGAATAAATATTTTCCTATTACATATATGTCCTTATATGGATCTCTCACACTTTTTTTCAAATCATTAAGTAGTGTACAGATGTAAATCAACACTACCTTAAAAACAAGAAACAGAGCTGCCATCCTAAAGGAAATAAAAAACTTATCAAAGTCAAGTATCCAATTTGAAATCAAGGAGCCTGCAACAAAGGGTTTCCCCTAATTCCATCTCTCTGTGTTCCATTTTTTTTTCTCATGCTTCTCCCCATTACAGGCATGGGATAGGGACATCCTGTAAACCCTTTGAACCCTAGGATTGACCAGCATTTAATTTCTCCTTACATCAATACTTCTGAATCATTCATTAGGAACATGAGAATAATGGAAATGATTTCTAACCTATGAAGCTTTGATTGTTAAATAAATTCTTCTTGTCAGCACTAAAGGAAATGTATGGAGAAGAGTATAGAGAATATGAGGTATAAAGGGTTACAAAACATATTAAGACAACTGAAATTTGTGACAAATCAAAGAAACTAGCTGAATTGTGAACTTGAGAGGAACAATTGAATAATTGCTATTAGTCGCAAATCAATTTTAGAACAGTGTTATGGTCGCAGGAAAAATTCATTTTAAGTTTCCTGTTTGTTCAAATTTTATTGCAGTTACAGCCTCTTGTGTAGATACTGAGAACATCTTTTTCAAACGGTGATTCTGAGAGGATATCATTGTTAACAAAAACATATGTAATTTAATTCTTAATTATTTGTAATTAGATCCAGCCAAGCAGCCTAAACTTCCTTTGACTGAAAACCTACTCCTTGCCAGGGAAGTGGGGGGAGGGGGGAGGGGGGAGGGGGGAGTAAGGGAGGTACATGGATCGATTTTTTCTGGGTATATGCAACTGGCCACTCAGAACCCATACCCCATATTCTTTGCCCAACTATAGACCCTGTCTTAGTCACCTTTGGTAATACAGTAACAAATTTTGAACTGTGAATCTTCCCATTTTTGAATCTCTGCTTACCAAAATTTTCTTTCCCTAAAAATCCCAAAAATGTGTGACCCCAGTCTAAGAACTCTTATAAAAGTGTGACCCCATATTGGTCAATCAAGTGATGAAAAGTGCAACCCCATCCAGCAGCACTTCCCCCTTAGTCTATTACAAGGAAGACCCCCCCCCCCCAATCCTTGTCTCAGAAGCAAATGGTGCTCTGAATCAGAGTCACCTGTGATCACTCGATGACCTTTTCTGTCACTTTTTCTTAAAACTTGGTGGTCATTGACTTTACTATAAACTTTGATAACATTTATTTGAGATCATTTATTACATGATTTCCTTTCTACCTCATGGTACGGTTTCATGCGTTGATCAATTCAAGGCTTCAACATTCCTCCCAGGCAACTCCCAAGGCAATCAAACCTTTGTAGATTGGTTTGTTTAAAATCCCACTCCTTGGGGAAAACTTTGTGTTCCAACATCCCACCTAAAGTTTTGTGTAACAGGCAAAATCAGCAACAGTGCATGATGAGCTTTGCCTCGGAAAAAATTTTTTATGCAAATTACCTGGCTGCACATTCAATGTTAAAAATAACCCTCAGGTATACACTACCCAAGAGGGTATAGGAGAGATTAAGAATAACCCTCAGCAGGTATACACTACCCAAGAGGGCATGCAAGAGACTAAAAATAACCCTCAGGTATATACTACCCAAGAGGGTATAGAAGAGATTAAAACTAACCCTCAGGTATTCACTACCCAAGAGGGTATGCAAGAGATTAAAAATAACCCTCAGATATACACTACCTAAGAGGGTATAGAAGAGATTAAAAATAACCCTCAGGTACACACTACCCAAGAGGGTATGCAAGAGATTAAAATAACCCTCAGGTCTACACTACCCAAGAGGGTATAGAAGATATTAAAAATTAATCCTCAGGTATACACTACTCAAGAGGGTATGCAAGAGATTTAAATAACCCTCAGGTATACACTACCCAAGAGGGTATGCAAGAGATTAGAGGTAATCCTCAGGTATACACCACCCAAGATGGCACGAAAAATTGAATTCCCACTTATTTATATCAGGAGACCGCTCTTTGTCTGGACTCTTTCTTTTGACTGAAAGTTGAGGCATCCACCATTAACTTATATAATTATTATCCTTTACTAGTTCTCGAATGTCTTTGTCAAGCTCGGCTATTCTTGACTGACATCATTGCAATTTCCCATGATATTTCGACTGGAGGCGTTTCCCGCCTAAAGTGTACGGTCGAGGGCGGTTTGATTTACCGCATCAACAATAAGATTATATTTTGAGACCTTGCGAATCCATCTGTTGGATTTCTCCCTGTCTAATTAATCCGGCACAGAGACCAATTGAAGATATAACATGCATGTTATTTGGTGACCTGGCGTTGAACGAACAGCCTTTGTTGGCGCGCTAGAGACCTGCTGGCGGGACAGAACGTATTGTGGTCATCGCGGAATCGACGAAACAATTCGTTTCTATGAAAAGCTTTCGGCCTGATTTCACATTAACTTTTCGTTAGCACATACCAGGACTTTTTGGGGTCGAGATTGGATCCCGTAACTATAGAAAGCTCAGCCGAACGATCGAAGACTTCAGCCTCCATGATAAGATCGCGCCAAGTGATTTTAATGCCAGATTTCTTGTGTTTTCGTAATTGAAATTCGAGCATAGATGTAGTATTAATAATTAGGTGAACCTTTAACTTATAATCAATAGGTTTAAGTAACCGCACAGACACCTACCGAACGCAAACGTTGATGTAATTCTCTACACTGATGACAGAAATATAGCGCCTCCGTAGAATGCATGCTGCGAATTTTTTTCGGGGCCAAAGCTCCTCATGTTTCACTCATTAAACAACCTTTAAGAAATAAACCTTGCAGACCTTTTCCTCTGAGACATTTCCCTCGCGAAAGTGAACAATTCGCCTAAACACCTCCGTATTTAAAGACATAACACTTTTCGTCCTGTCCCCAGAGTCGTGCTACTGTCTCCCATTTAAATATCTGAGGGGTAGAGACAAATGCGGAAATTTTTATGTGGGCACATAGAGAGATCAATATATATATGTTATTTGCCGGCTGGGAGGTCCGTATGGTGAAAAACTGTGACCGAGGTCTTGAAAAAAAACTAAATTCGAACGGCACACTCCAACGAGACACAAAGGAATTTAATGCGGCCTTTTCTCAAAAAATTCCTTCAATTTCTGTTGTGCAATTTACGGTACAAATGTCCAAATTGAACAGAATTGGAAAGACTCAGCGGGAGCGTATATTTGTTGTAGAACTTAAACTAAAACTTCGCTCGCTCTTTCACTATGAACAAATTGCTCGAGAAAATTCAGATATTAAATGAATGAAAGTTCCATCGTTCAGTTTAACTGTAACCAAATACCTCACGTTTCAACTTTCTGGGTACTTTTTGCGAACGATTAAAATTAATTGCAGACGGTTTTAAGGCCGCTTGTCAACCAACGTAATGACACTATTGTTTATACAAATTCATTCTGAAACCAATATTTTTCTGTCAACCAAAGTGATTTGATAGAGAGAAAAGAGAGGATTCATAAGTTATTTATCGGCTTGAGGTAGTGACCGACGTGTTTGCTTAAAAATACTGCCCAGCCGGAAAACGAGGTATATTTATGAAAAATGACAACGAAAGTTGGGATGTACTCGGCGACTCACGAAAGCGTTACCGTGGCCCGTGGGCAGAGATAGGAAAATACTGACCGGGTAAAGAACCAATCAGATTGCAAGATTCGTTACCGTGCCCTCTAAAAAAACAATAATAATACTTATTATATATAGCTGTCGTGTCAGGCTAGAAGCTAAATTTATGAAGGTGGTTTTCCCTTCCTTTCGCTTCATCTTTCAGTTAAAGTACAGCCTTGTAGATCCCCCAAACTAAGAGGAAATGTGCGCGAGATCGAAAAAAAAGGGCTTCAAGGTCTTAAAAGAGACGATGGCCTCAGTCAGAATGATAGATGGTTATTTCATCAGATACATCACTTTATTTGAACAACTAGGAATCGATCAAGCGCAGGAAAAAGGCAGGATGTGGAATGTACACTTTACCAGCTGGAAAATGGGTAGGCTTTGTTCCTCCTATTGCATTTTTTTACAAAACCTGTAGAACAGATAACTAGCAAGGACCTGACCACCATCTTTTCAGGCCCACGCCATGGAAAATTATGTTGGCTGCAACTAGACGTTATTTTGTTGTTATTGGACTAACTTTGGAAGTTGATGTAGAAAATAAGCAGGAGCATGTTGATGACGTCATTAGGACACGCCTAATGTCACGCGACCCAAACAAAAAGTGAACAATTCTACAAAGGCATATGTAACGTTTTCAGTGGTGTCTTTTTATCTGCCCTTTCTTCCGAGGAAACTCAAGTTTGCATCTTAATCTCTCTCT